AAACTCATACAAAGTAAAATGGTGGTTGTCAGGGTCTGAGGAGGCAGGGAATGGGGAGCTACGGTTTTAATCACTATAGTTTCAGTTTTTGTAACACTGAGAAATTCTGGAGATTGCTTGTAGAACACTGTGAATGTATTTAACACTAAGTGCACAATTTAAAAAGGTTAAAATGGAAAATTTTATATTATGTGTATTTTACACTTTTAAAAAAGACAGACTTGAAAAAAAAAGAAAATACAAACATATGGATATTTCCAACTAAATCCAAACAACTCTCCTTCAATCCTCCATAGACTAGATAATATCAATTCACTAGGTGCCAATTCTACATTTATCTTTACAATAAAGTCCAGAGTGATTCCACAAGAAAACAAAAGACATCAATTTGGAAGGGAAAAAAATAAAACCATCACTATTTGCAGATGGTATACTACTACACACTACTGAAACTCCAATACGTTGGCCACCTCATGCGAAGAGTTGACTCGTTGGAAAAGACCCTGATGCGGGGAGGGATTGGGGGCAGGCGGAGAAGGGGACAACAGAGGATGAGATGGCTGGATGACATCACCAACTCGATGAGCATGAGTCTGAGTAAACTCCGGGAGTTTGTGATGGACAGGGAGGCCTGGTGTACTGAGATTCATGGGGTCGCAAAGAGTCGGACACGACTGAGCGACTGAACTGAACTGAACACACTACATTAAGTCCGCTACTATGAACTTTCAAGTTGTAAACTTTCAAAAATGCAAATGTGCATTTGCATGCATGTAAGTTAGTTCACATGTCTGGCATGAACTACTGTACTTTCCAAGGTAATGTACTCTAAGATTAAAAATATTTCAGTGTTTGCTTTTTTATTATTTGTGTGAGAAGTATTATAAACCTATTACAGCACAGTACTATGTAGCAGACTGTGGTAGTTGGGCACCTAGGCTCACTTTGTTGGGACTTAAAAACGCACTTAATTAAGCTTATAAATGTACTCTTAGAATGGAAATCGTTTGGATGTAGGGGGCTTACTGTATAGAAAACTAGATACTTCACCACAAAAATGTTAAAATGAATAAACAAATTCAATAATGCTGCAGGATATAAAATTAACATACAAAACCAGTCACATTTCTATACACTGATAACAAACTAAACAATAAAACAACCCCACTAACAGCTGCATCATAAAGAATAAAATACCCAGGAACAAATTAAATCAAGGAGGTGAAAGATCTCTATACTGAAAACTAAAAGACATTAAGGAAAGATAATGAAGGCACAAATAATGGAAAGATGTTCCATATTTATTAACTGGAAAAATTAATGTTAAAATGTCCATACTACCCAAAGCAAGCTACAGACTCCCTGTAATCCATGTCAAGATTCCAATAGTATTTTTCATAGAAATAGAAATAGAAAAATTAAATTTGTATGGAACCACAAAAGGTCCCAAACAGCAAAAGCAATAATGAGAAAGAAAAAACCTGGAGGCATCATGTACCTTGATTTCAACTATATTACAAAACTATAGTAATCAAAGCAGTATAGTATTGTCTTATAACAGATATACAGATCAGTGGAACAGAATAGGGAGCCCAGAAATAAACCCAAGCATATATGGTCAAGTTGTGACAAAAGAACCAAGAACATAAAATGGGGAAAGGATAGCCTCTGCAATGAATGGCACTGGGAAAACTGGACATCCATATGCATAAAGATGAACCTGGATCATTGACTTACAGTCTACACAAAACTCAACTCAAAATGGATTAAAGACTTTTGAATGTAAGACTTGAAACCATAAAAGTCCTAGAAGAAAACACAGGTGATAAGCTCCCTGATACTGGTCCTAGCAATGATTTTTTAGATTTGATAGCCAATAACAAGGATCAGCACTCCTAATCCCCAGTTGTTTCAGTTGTTCAAGGGTCACCTATATCTGATAAAGGGTTAATATCCAAAATACATAAACAACTCCTATAATTCAAAAGAGAAAAAATATCCGATTAAAAAAATGGGCAGAGGATCTGAAAACATGTTTTTTTCAAGGACAAACAGATGGCCAACAGACACATGAAAAGATGCTCAACACCGCTAATCAACAGGGAAATGCAAATCAAAACCACAATGAGATATCACCTCACATCTGTTAGAATGGCCATTATCAAAAATATAAGAACTAAGTTATTAGTGAAAATGTGGAGAAATGGGAACCTGTGTTGTAAGAATACAAACTGGTGAAGTTACTATAGAAAACTGTTTGGAGGTTCTTTTTAAAAAAACAAAACAAAGGCCTAACATATGGATCCATTTCTGGGCATTTATTCAAAGAAGACAAAAATACTTAATCCAGAAGGTATGTGTACCCCCCATGTTCACTGCAGCATTACTTACAAAACCCAAGACATGCAAACAACCTAGATGTGTATTAGTAGATGGAGTGGAATGGGTAATGGGGGTCAAAAGGTACAAACTTCCAGTTATAAAATAACCCAAGATTTTAAAGAAAATCTGTGTTCATTGTATTAATCCATGACATTAACTTCATTCACCATGCAGAGAAACATGACAATTGCCCCATTAAATTAATATAACCAGTATTTTGTCAGTTACTAATGGCAAAGGATTTCTGTGGCTCCTGACAATATTTACCTTTTTTTTTTAATCCCTTCTAGTCAGAGCTATTGGAGAAGGCAATGGCACCCCACTCCGGTACTCTTGCCTGGAAAATCCCATGGACGGAGGAGGCTGGTGGGCTGCAGTCCATGGGGTTGCTAAGAACCGGACACGACTGAGTGACTTCACTTTCACTTTTCACTTTCATGCATTGGAGAAGGAAATGGCAACCCACTCCAGTGTTCTTGCCTGGAGAATCCCAGGGATGGGGGAGCCTGGTGGGCTGCCACCTATGGGGTCACACAGAGTCGGACATGACTGAAGCAACTAGCAGCAGCAGCAGCAGCAGCAGTCAAAGCTATGGTTTTTCCAGCAGTCATGTATGAATGTGAGAGTTGGACTATAAAGAAGGCTGAGCACCAAAAAATTGATGCTTTTGAACTGTGGTGCTGCAGAAGACTCTTGAGAGTCCCTTGGACTCAAGGAGATCCAACCAGTCCATCCTAAAGGAAATAAGTCCTGAATATTCATTGCAAAGACTGATGCTAAAGCTGAAACTCCAATACTATGGCCACCTGATGTGAAGAACTGACTCGTTAGAAAAGACCCTGATATTGGGAAAGATTGAAGGCAGGAGGAAAAGGGGACGACAGAGGGTGAGATGGTTGGATGGCATCACTGGCTCAATGAACAGGAGTTTGAGTAAACTCCGGGAGCTGGTTATGGACAGTGAGGTCTGGCGTGCTGTAGTCCATGAGGTCGCAAAGAGTCAGACACAACTGAGCAACTGAACTGAACTGATTTCAAATGTTCACAATACTTACAGAATAAATTAATAATATTATTAATTATAATATTAATTATTAATATTCCAGAATTTAAAAAACAAGTCTAAATTTACCTATGTAAACTGAAAATGACATTTTTATACTTTCCTATCAAAGACTGGTAACATGTTCACTTTACTCTAAAGAATGCTGCTAATCCCCTTTCCTCTGGATACCAATGTTCAAGAGTTCCTTTTTATCTGGCCTATTTATTCTAAGAGCTCACAGTTCCAAGTTATACAGGAAAGCAGGAGTTATCTTTTAAATGTACCCGTTAATATAATGCTCATTATGGGTTCCCCATCCCAACCACTTCCACCCTCAAATCAACACAGTGTCTTTCCTTATTCACCATGCAAGTCTCTTGCTGGCTATACATTTGTAAACATCTTACAATTTAATCCAAATACAATGCAAATCGATGGAAAATTAAACTACATTAGCAAAACATTCAAGACTTCATGAAGTTAATGAAAATGTGCTGGGAAAACTGCCTGGAATCATACAAACAGTACTGAACAAATAAGTTTGCCAGTTAATGACTAAAAATGAAAACAAAGGTGACACTAGATTCAAGAGGTTTATTTTTTTGAACATCAAAAAATTAAGGGTCTTGGAACTGAAGAAACTCAAACATTTTTGCAAAATTTTATCTTAAAAGTGAAAAAAAACTAATGGTAGCATTTGCCTTAATATTTTGATTTCAGAACCTAATCCTATAAAAGATTTAAGTCTCCTGTAAAAATACTGGTCCCAAATTGGGCATAATAAAAGACTTTCTTTTTAAGTTGCTTAGTACTGTCTTTGCGACCCCATGGACTATACAATCCATGGAATTCTCCAGGCCAGGATACAGGAGTGAGTTGTTCCCTTCTCCAGGGTATCTTCCCACCCCAAGTCTCCAGGGGATCTCCAGGGGATCATTCCCAATCCAGGTCTCCCACACTGCAGGCAGATTCTTTACCAATTGGGCCATGAGGGAAGCCCAAAAATACTGGAGAGGGAAGCCTATCTCTTCTCCAGGGAACTTCCCAACCCAGGAATCGAACCGGGGTCTCCTGTACTGCAGGAGGATTCTTTACCAGCTGGGCTATCAGGGAAGCCCACTTACCCTTTGTTTAATCACTCAATCAAACAGAGAGGTAGAATAACAAAAGTATTACGTTTTTAATTTTAAAATAAAATTCACATTCACGGTTGCAAAACAACAGCGAATTCCTGGAGAAGAAACCAATAATCAACTGCACTGATAAGAGAAGCTCAAAAGAACCAGTAAAAAAAACCCATTTGCAAAACTAGAAAAAAGACTTTCATTAAGGAAGAACACCACTATGACCATCTTGCCTCACAAAGAGACAGTAAAAGCCAAACTGATGAACGAAGTTGCCCTATTATCTTCCTATAGGCAATCTACAAAAAGCTTCACTATGGTGCTGAACAATTGATTGAGAGCTAGGTTTCATTTCATCAATAGAACATGCAAGCTTTCAATTGGGATTCTCGACAAAAGGCAACCTTTGTAATAAATGAACCACCAGAGAAGATTCTAATAAAACTTACCATTGTGTATTGCATTCAGCAACTCTGAGAAAGCTTTTAAGTAAGGAAAAAAGGACTTCAGGTTAAGATCATTCTCAAACACACAAAGAAATACATAGGTATAGACTGAATCAGTATAATAAAATCTCAATAAGTCTATCATGTATCATTACTTAAATCATTACAAGCTTGGCTCAGTTTTCACACAGTATGAATTTCTAGATATTGCATTTCATTTGCCAATATATTATCTACTAAATTTGTATGTCAGATATACTGTCATAATGATGATAAATTTCCTTAGTAATAAATGTATGTAAAGCTACTTTTAAAAAGACATTTAGTAGCCTAATGTCTTTCTTGCTGAAAGTCAGTCACATTAAGATACAATTCTATATAGGTAAATTCACCTTTGGTCACACTTAACAATATTTATTGTTTAGAAAAAAACAAAACTCAATTTAAATCTAACCTGATCAAACATTCTCAGTTCCTAGACTTTAGAACAACAGTCTCAACATATGAAGTGCTCTAAGCAAAAAACGCTATCTAATGCCAATATACATATATGAACATTAAGATTAGTGAAAACCAAAATATTGAAAATATTACTTCACTGGGGAACAAGAGTCACAATTTCGCAACAGAAGTACCATATTAAAAGGCCAGCAATCAACAAAATTTGTTCATAATTTCACTGTAATATGGATTCTGAACACAGGACAGACAAAACAGCAAGTTAATCTATCACTGTAGGAGAAACCTACATAATTAAGAACCAACTGCATTTTAGAAAATTAAAACTTAAGGGTGCAGAGGTGGTGTAATATACTAGAAAAAGCACTAGAGTAGAATCAAAAAGCCTGGGTTACCAACCCAGTTCGACAACTTACTAGTTGTTGGACAAGCTCCATCGTGCCGATACTGCATGGAAATTTCTGTTGGAAGGGAGGAGAAAGGAAATCAGCAAAGAAGTTGCCAGTGACTTAAGGGTAGAAAAGAAAAGGGCCAGAAAAACAGGAAAACACTCATCCAAAGTCTAGCTGAGAAGGGCAAATAGAACTGTGTGGACAGAAATTATAAGCCAGTAATTGGGACGTCAGGGGTAGGAGGACCAGACAGAATGTAATTCTCATAATCTTAACAGGACAGTGTAGAAATATGTTGCATGCATATGTGGGCAAAGAATGAGGAAAAGACAGAAGGGCTTACAAATGAATCTGTATGACAAACGTTTTAAGAATAGATAAACTACTATGAGGAAGTATAGTTAGGCAATGTGATAAATTTTATATAATTCATTAGATGAGAACAATGTATCAAAAATATCTGGATGCTGTATTCAATTAGAAACTGTAATTTAAGTATGAAAATTTAGCTTATATCTGAGCAGAAATCCATTATGACTTACTGTTATGTAAGTTTTATATAACTTACAGTTACGTAAAACTCATGAAACTACACTCAGCTTATTCTCTTGTACCTTTCATTTTTGATGATTATAATGAACAAGCAATTACTTTTATTCCTTTACTTCTCCCTTACGAAGAGAACTAGCAGAGGGTGACATGAGGCAATAAAACACTGCTAAAAGGAAAATCTGCTCAGAAATTGGAGGAAATTTCTGTATGATATTCCAAATGAAAAAATAATCGATAAAACCAGGACTAAGGGAAGGCTGTGACTCAAAAGACCTGGCCAACTAATCTGGAAACTTGATTCACGTGTGGCCACCACCACTGGCCAGTTATTTTTAAAGAAGGGATATCTGGGAATTCTCTAGATATTAAGTTAACCAAAAACATGACCTGTAGGAACCATGTGTTGAGAGTCTTTCAGGCAACCATCATTCACGCATCTACCTAGAAAGTCAAGTCTAATCATGAGAGGACAAAGCAATCACTGTAATGTTAAAGAAACTGATATGAAATACTGTTTAGAGGTCAAACACTTAGGCCAGTTTAGTTTAAGTCCTTTGCAAATAACGCAAGAAGATGAGCCATTGTGGGAGAATTTGCCACCTTATGCTTCATTAACAAATGCAATACAAGTGAGATTTTAAAAGGCTACTAAAGAGATATACATGCTATGTTCTAAAGAAATGGTATTTGCTTGGAATGGTGCTAAAAATAATCAAAGGACCTTGTGCAGAAAGATTTTGTCAATGGGGAATAAACTGGAATATGGCTATTCTGGCTTTTGATCTAATACTTTTATAGAAAGATAGCCACAACATAGGGCCAGAAATTTTCAGGTCATCAAAGACCAAAAAAAAAAAAAAAAAATCAGGATTTTCTAAGAAAACAGATTCCAAGGTATTTGCTGGTCTTAGCTGTACCCAGTATCTTCTTCATTTATAACCCAATATAATCCATGCATACAAAATCATTAAGCTAGCCATTAAGACAGATGTGAATTATGCTCACTGACCGCATCTACTCTCTGGTCTGCAGTACTGCATTACAACTCTGCTCTTATCATTATCAGTCTATTATAATAACACTTTATATCTTTATGGTTCCCTCATTTGCTTACAGAATCAGTCTATTTTTAACTAAAATATTTTATCAGAAAAAGACAAGTTTCACTTTACCAGCGTAAGTAGATATGACATAAATAGGATCCCTTTCAAAGTTACATGGGCTCAAGTCAAACTTTCATAAACTTCATATTTCAGTAGAAACCAAGAGAAACTTCTAGAGGTGATCTACTCATATTAATAACTTACCTTTGTGATATCATTTAAGAGCTTAAGAATAAGTACATAGTATCACAATCGAATGACTGCCTTTCCAGAATCTCTTTTTACAGCATTTATTACCCCTAAAGAATTCCATCACTGAAAAGACTTCAGGTATCTTTACTGAGAGAGGTATGGCAGCACTCTAAAGAACGAGTGACTGAGATTGAAAAAATCAAACAGGGAAGAATATACTCTGAAAGGGCAGAGCATGCCCAAAGAAAAGAAATTAATGCTAAACTATTGACTCTTTACCAGTTAATGAATACCAAATTTTTCTCAAAAAAAAAATAACATGTTGATTTCTGTGGAGAAAAAAATGCTATCATTTTAGTAAATCCTAAATTCTCCTAATGTGATTGAGATAAAACAGAAAAACAGTAAAGGACAAATATAGCATGTCAATTCATCCAAAACTTTCAATATCTTCAACGTCCTAACTTTCAACATTTCAAAAGACCAGGTGCCTGTTAATACCTCAAGAGAATATATGTAGGAAAGAATTCAATCAAAAGTTTAATATAATCTATTAGACAAAACTTACAACCTTGAGTACATTTTGTACAAGTCACTATAAACAGGTCATTTATCGGGATATACTGTGATTTATTTTAATAAAAATCTTACAAATCCTCGGATCACTCCAGTTTAGAGGTGTTTTCTGGGTTTCTATTCTGACTGGATCTAGGCCTCCTAGAATAAGTATCTCGACACATACGCTCTGTCATAAGCGTAATCTGAACATGTCATGAGAGAACTTCACTCTTAAAATGCTATTTCTAACTAACAATTTTAACAGAATCACATCATAAGGACTTGATTGTACATCTGCTTTATATCCTAGTGGTGGTAAAAGAGGAAAAACAACCACCACAACAATAGCAGCTGTCTTGTCTATTTCACAAGGTTGTTCTAAGGATCAAATGAGATGGTCATTAAAGAGTTCTTTAGAAACTCTTAGGTGCTCCAAGATATACAAGGTATCATTAACTAGAAGTTCGGACTTACTCTCCATAAACCCATCCTGCTCTGTTTAATCAAGGTTACTTCTATCCCACAAACACAAGCTTCTTGTTTTTATAAAGTTTATCCTTCAAATATACCTTAACTTTCTTTTCCAATAATAATGCTGGTCTTCTTTATCTGCCTACTCCAAAGTACAATACAAATTTCATCTTGTCCATGGTCTTTCCCAGCTAATTACATATCCTAAAACTAGCCTGTAATACTACATGAAAAGCTTTTAAAAAAATAATTTCACTTGCAACCTGGTAAAAACTCTTGAAAGACAAGTACAAAACTACACAGGATACTACTAAACACATAATACCTTCTCAGTGATCACTAACAGTATTCACTCCTTTTTCTTTTTAACGTTTAGCACTTAATATGTTTAAAGCACTATGCTAGCAGTGGAGACAGTAGTGAACATGACAAACACAGGCGCTAACCTGCTGGAGCTAGGGTCACAGTGCATGTTAAAGTTCACCTTATAGCTAACAGATGTTCACAAGGTGCCTGCATTGTTACTTGCATATGAATCTTTTAAAAAGAGCATCATGAAAAACTCTTGGTAACACAGTACACATTCCTCCTATGACTTATTTATACAGGAGAAAGTTTTCTGCCTGTACAATTACTAAGTGACTTCTCAAGCTAAAATTAGTGCAAAGGTAAAATTAACATTTTCATTCTATCAACCAAAAAAAAAAAAAAAAAACCATATGCAAATAAAGGGAATTTCAACCAAAAAAAAAAAAAATTTCATTCTATTAGGAGGTAGTACTATTGCAAGTTAAAATTTTTGGCTCAAATTTTCTTGTTGATCCCATTGCTTAAAGTATGACCAACAGTGTACCACCATAGTTTTAGACCCTCACCAGCAAATACCCCTTAAATTTTATAACTGTTACTGGAGTCAAGGAAAATGCATAGCTCCACCACTGAGAGCTGTGAGAATTCTGTTTATATTTCTTCTTCTATATAATGAATAATACTCTATGCAAGACAGTGTGCAGCACAAGCTAAGTTTCAACAGCAGTTAGCAATCTTAACTTATGGTAAGAGTTAATTTCTAAATATTCATGGCATTCAGCTAGCTTTTCTTAGATAAGAATAGATTTATTTTTTTAAATTTTAGAATAGACTTTTTAGAACTAAGCTTATCAATGAGAGCTCTGATCTAATCATAAAGCTTTTATTAAAATGTGTAAGATTAAATAATATATTACCTCAAATAATTTTAAACAATCTTACTCCATAATAATAGCTTTAACAAGATCTATACAATCTCCAAAGTGATTTTAAAATACAGATTTAAGGGGGGAAAAAATCCTGACAAGTCTAAACTTCATGAAATAATATTTATGGGAATTTCTCCCTATATTTGTTTTTCCTACTGGTGAGGTAAAAGGGATACAAATTCATATTTTTCTGCCACAAACACTGCTCTCACAATACACTGCTCTTGCAACGTAATCATTATGTAAAGAACATGATTTCCACACCTAAAATCTCCCTAAATCAGTAACATGTAGCAAAATCTTTTCAAGAATGTAAATTGGTGTTTTAAGTCCATTCATTTGAAGATGTGTATTTCAACTGTCATCCAAATGCAATTTCTGAAACTCAGTTAACTCTCAGACTGTGCCCCTATGGACAGGACACTGGTGAGGATCTCTTCCTAAGAGCAAATTAACACCTAATTTTCTCAGTATGTTACTTATCTGATTCCTGTGCCTCTTTGCTAAAGATAAACATGAACTAAAAAATTTTTTCCCAAGGAAATCTGTGTAAATTTATTTTTTGTGACCAGGGGCTATGGCTAACTGCTAAGCTCGTCTGGTCTCAAAGCAAATATACTATATAAATAAAACATATATTCAAGTGTGCAAAATATTAAAATCTTTTCAATGAACTTATTTATTGAGGCAATTTATTATTTTTCCCCTCTAAAACAGTGGTTCTCAACCAAGGGCAATTTTGCCCCTTTCAGAACCCAAATGTTTTTTGATTGTCACTATGGGTAGTGGTAGGGTTTGGGAATCCTGATAAACATCCTACAAGGCACAGGACAGTGAGGCACAGCAGAGAATTAGCCCAACCAGAACATCAACAGTGCCAAGACTAAAGAATCTTGCTTTAAACCATCTTTAACAGTACTAAATCCTTCCACAGTGTCCACTCATTTCTCCAAAAAACCTGTCTAACAGGTCCACCACAGGCAAAGAAGCTAGCTATCAGAAATAAAAAGAGAAAGAAATCCCTGACTGTGTGACCTTAGACAACTTATTTTACCTTAGTCTCAGTTTTATCAGCTGTAAAATAGAGGCATTCATAGCCCCTACATCATAAAACTGTTCTAAAGATTAAACAAGATAAAAAAGAATGTAACAGATGGCAGTTAATAAGTTACTACTTTTCATATCTGACCTTTACACATGCTCTTTTCTCCCTTATAATGGTCTTTCTTACGTTTACTGACTGAAATGTCTGTAAAACTACAGAAACAATACAAAATTCTACATTTGTAAAACAAACATGAATACTCTTCACTTAAATTCTATTTATTATTTTTATTTTTCCATACCATTTTCCACCTATCCTCTCCATCTAACAGAACAGGTAAAATTCACAGTTTATTTTAGCCAAAATTTCATCATTTCTACAATCAGAAATCTAAAATTGAAACATGGGTAAAATTTTCAATCAACACATCTAAAGTCATTTATCTCAAATTGAAGATGTAATGTAAAACATAAATGTTGACATTTAGCTAAGTTTCTGTCTTGAAAACAAGCATCTTGAAATTTCTAAAAGTTGAAAATAATATTTACATTACAAAGTATAAGTTAAAGGAGCATACCAATGTGGTAAATAACAGCATTTATAAATTCATTCATACTATAGTAAAAATGATGGTAAAAAACTGGTGAACACAATTGAAAACAAAAATGATACATAACATTTGAGATATCTCCTGAAATGGGATTTTTAAAGCCATAAATTTAAATCACCTATCACTGATTGAAAAATATTCTAGATGGAATTAACTAGAATTTGTGTCAGGAATTACTGAGAAAATAAAGACTAACTGAGATTTAGGGAGAGGAAGCTCCAAAACAAATACCAATCCAGAAAAGTGCGAACCCTCACACCATAAATGTGAATTCTGAATTGATTTCGAAAATACTATGCAAGGGAAGCAAAAACAAAAACTGGGAAATCAATTCTAGATGTTTCATAAGAAATGAATGACCAATGAACTGAACTATTTAACCTATATTTAGTTAAATAAAATTGAATTAGTACCAAATGTCTTTTCCAAAGACCAAAGACCAAACTGTCCTTCTAAGATAACATTTTTCATTAAGATAATGAAATGTCACTTAGCAACTCACAGTATTTTCCTGAGGCTAGTTTAAAGTGATCTGCTTGTGCAGGTGAGCGGAGGACGGCGGTGGAGGGGGCCTCCGGAGGCCTACCTGAGCCCAGCGGAGAGGAGCCCACGCTGAGGCTCTGCACACTCCCGTTCCTGAGCGGCGTGGGCGACTTCTGGAGGCTAGAGCTGGTGACACTCCCTGCAGCGGATGCTACAGACGACGTTGGAGAGGCGGACGAGACCGAGAGGTGAGCAGCACTCTCCTGATTTCTGTTTCCTTTGGGTCTCCCAGGCCCGTGCTTGCTTTGCTTATTGCCTTTTCTTTTCTTTTCCTTTACAGTTTCTTCTTCTATGCCAGAAGTTTGAGCCCGCTTATATCCTGCTGTAGGGAGGCTGGAATTACCCAAATCTCCAGGTGAATTTTCAAAGCTTTTAGGCTGCGAAATAACAGCTGAGGCTGAAGGGAGACCAATTATGGAACTAAAACTATTTACCCCCCCTTCCTGGTTTCCAGACTCTCCTTTATGTACATCTTTGGTTGATGATGACTGCTGGGAGTGAGTATAACTGTCATTACGCAGATCTGGGTCTGTAAAGCTCAAGAAATCCTGGGGAGACTGTACTGAACTTCCTGAAGATGATTTTACACTGCCTGGAGTTCCTGAAAAACTGCCTGTAGTGGGGAGAAAAAAAAAAATGGGGTAGGAAAAGAATTGGATGCAAAAGTTCCCATGAGCAGTAGAAATGATACAATCAGCAAAAAGAGAGAATGAAAAAAAACTAACTATAAAACCAAGGACATTAGTATATAACTCAGCTAGATTTTTTTTAAAGATTACTGAAATCAAGTTTATCTATAAAATTATACTTGTCATTTTATAGTTATTAAATTATTAACTCTTGAATTACAAGCTATTACTTGTAAAATTACCAAGATATAAGATGTGGTTTTTTAACCTACCTTTTACCATGGTAGCATTCCTCAATTCTTCCCCAAATGCCTTATATATGCTGAAGAAGGACTGAAGAACAGCAAAGTCTCAAGAAGACTTTCAAAAGACTATGAACTCTGAATGGCATGGGGAATCTTCTCTTTTTCAATTGTTAAGATACAATTATAAATGTTCCCAACATATAGTAAGAACCAAAAGATGTTGCTTCAGTTGTTAAGTTCTGAGTTTTAACTTCAAGATAATGTTGGTGAATGTTATCACTCAGTTACATCTACCCCACCAAAACATGAATTCAATAAAATAATAATGATCACATGGAATAATCTACATAACTCACATTTTTCCCAGTCTACTTCTCATGGAGCTGCATAAAGAAAAGAGACCAGCCACTTACATTTTGCTGCTGCTTTTATGAAAGTAAAATCATAGGAGAGGCACCTCTCATAAAACTTCCAAAGCTGCTTATTTCCCCCACTCTTTAAAGAATACTAGTAGCCCATCATGTCATTATGAAATATAAGAACCTCAAGGTTCTTCTTTACCAGGTGAAAACTAATGGCTGTGATGAAATAAGTTCAGTCCACCATTTCACTTTATCAAACTCTCTCGTCACACTTACCAAATGAAGTAACACACGTTTAGACTCAGTTTTGACCACGTAACTATTGTGTTTCATAAAACAAAACTATATCAGGTTTTAACTATTATACTTAGAAACAAAAGCTCAAAATGAAGTGTTCTGTTGGCAGTGGAAATTCCAAGCTAAATACTAAATTTTATTGCAGAGCACATTCATAGGTAATCACACATAAATTCACTTAGGTATTCAAACAGGCATTTTTCCTTAACACACAAGAAATAATTTATTTTTAACTAAAATCTCAAGGTTTTGGCTTTTAAATTTTAAGTTCTTCTGAAATGGCTCATTTAGAAAACAATAACAGTTCTAAAATTTAACTTTTTCAAGAGAATATCTGCCTTATTCATTTATGAAATTATGTGTACTTCTGTGACCATTTTCAGGCCATTTCTGTACAGAAAAATATACATATTAAGAAGCCATTTACATTACATCAATCATTTAAGTATAACTGCAATTTGCCACTTAATTAGCAGCTATAAAGAAGTTCTTTATTATCCATTCTGATCTGTCACCATCTGTCCTTTTCCTGCACATTTCTGTTTTTACAGCTGGTGTTAAAAGCTCACAACAGCAAGGCAAATACTTTAAAACATTTAGTATATGCAATGCTTTAAATGTATATTTTCTAAAATTCACATACAATCCTGAAATTAAAAAAGAAAAAACATAATTACTTTCAATGCTCTACTATAAATTTCAACTTTTAAAACTTTTTAGAATATTACCTCAGATATGCAAACATAACACATCTCTATCATATCTTAACAGAAGCAGGGAAAGACTCCAATGTGGTTAAGTTTTAAGAAAATGAGAGATTTCTCTTCTAAATGGATTAGTACTTCAAAGATACGACTAAAAGCTCAAAAATGCAATTTTAGCAATACAAAGTAAGGTCTTCGTTACAGAGAAGAAATAACTGAATTCTGCCAATCACATTTAAAATGTGATTGAAGTTACATTAAAAATTACAATTTTATGAGAATTCCTTGGCAGTTCAGTGGTTAGGACTCAGCACTTTCACTGCCACGGCTTGGGTACAACCCTTGGTTGGGAAACTTAAGATCCTGCAATTCGTGTGGCATGGCCAAAAAAAAAAAATTACAGTTTTACTATTTATTATCCAAAGTATCATAAAAATAACATACAGTAAATTTATTACACACAAAATAGCAAATTTAGCATTTTATTTTCTACCTAACTTTCTGTTACATGAGGAAAAAGGAAAAAAAAATTAGGACTCGAACATCGTGAAATCCAAAAATAACTTAGTTTAAAATATATGAATATACTTTATAATGAAGAGGTCAGTGACTAGGCAATCTTTCTGCATATTCAAATTATGTCCTGGCAGATTTTGGGTGTAATTTTTATCATCATCAAAAGTTTGAACAGGGTAAAGGAAAGGACAGCTTTTGCCCCTCGTTTACTCCTAGGAGTCAAAGGGCAGGATGGGAGGTGGGGGAGAGAAGGAAGCCTTTATTTTATACTTTATTAAATTTATTTGTTTGGAACAGTTTTGAACATTTATATTTCTCAAAATATTTATGTCCATGATAAAATTATACAAAGTAAAAACCTAGAATATTTCGCTAACTGATTCTAAAGTTTAGCTGAGTTATTCTGTTCTCCAGAAAACAGTGTTGCCATTTATTAAAAAAAAACACAGCATGCCTTGTTAATTCTGAATATCAGTTAAATAGCAAATTATTTTTTCAGTGTAAGTATGTCCCAAAAGAATGCATAAAACATATTTACACTGGAAAAAAGAAAGTTGTTTAACTAAAACTCAAAATTGGGTATTCATAATTACCAAAAGACATGGGGCTTCCCTTGTAGCTCAGTCGGTAATGTGTTAATAGTTAGTAATTATTATTTACTGAAAACTATTTAGCTCCCCTAAAAATTACTCAGTACTTGTTCACTTACTAAAAATGTATACTTTAACAGTTCTAGTGTTCAACTGGGAAAGATAAATAAAAGCAATTTATAAAATAGAATGACTTTCCTATTGAGCATAAAGGAAAGGAAAACTCCAGCTTTTATTGTTTTTCTCCCCAAACTTTTAACTTTATTCCACATCTATTTTAACATTTAAAAAAATTACAGTTCAACTTTAAAAGCACAGGTCATAACACAAAAGGAAAGTGAAGGTCCCAGAAACATTTTAAGAAGGAATATTAGTCTTTGAAGTAATCTTACTATAGCAACTAATAAAAAATAACCTCTAATTATCCAACAGTTATAAGCAAAAAGTAAATTCTTTTATAAAACTTAACTACTATTGATCATCATAAGAACAAGTATTTCAACTAAAACATCGTAAGTAATACCTTGCTGGAAAGGACTAGCAGCTGATACAGTCGTTCCTGGATTCCTTCCACCAGGCTTTCTTCCCCTTTGACCTGAGCTGTGAGCTGAAGATTTCTTCCCTTTGCACTCTGACCCTCTAGCCTCTGAAACATCTTTTGCACTAGTAGTGTGCGCAGAGACTTCCTGGAAATTTGCATTTGTAAATCGAGCTGCAGTATCTTCCAAGCGCTTCAAGGATCCAGATATAGAATTGCTGCTAGTGCTTGTATAAGTCTAACATTTTGATTGAGAAAGAAAGTAAAAGGAAAAACAATTGATTACAATTTGTCTACAAGCGGAAGAAAGATGGCACATTAATAATAAATAATTATTGGACTTGTAAAATAAAAATATGAAAACTTCCGCTATAAAAATAAGTCAGTCTGCCTAAAAAAATCAAGCAAAAGTTTATTTTAGAGTCTGGTATAAATTTTTCTTTTAAAAATGTAGATAATTTATAACATGGCTGTTTGAGCATTAAACTGAAGCAATTAGTAAAAGTACCTATTAGTTGTTTCATTTAGTGACTCAGAGTTAGCAACACAGAAGATATTTGTTTCTCAAGAAGCATCATTTTCAACAAGAACATTCCACTTCTAGACATGAAATTTAAACCAGTTTTAGTGCCCAGCACAGGAAGGCAACATCTAGAAAGAAGCAAGGTACTACAATTTCATTGGTGGGCCACATCCATGAGATTTTAAGGATCTAGCACAGGTCAGAGCAAGAACTTTTAAAACTGAGGTGAAGGCTGCTTTTCAAAAGGAAAAGCTTAAAACCCCTGAAACAGAAACCATTTTTTCCAAGTATTTAAGTAGAGAAAAACAGTTACATTTCGCAGTTAAGATTTCTAAAAATTAAAAGTACAATTATACCATAAAACTGATTCCCAATCATCCCCTATATTTAGTTGGGGGGGGGGGGGAGCCAAGAGAAAGACTGATTAAATGGTTTTCAGTTTTTAATAACCATTTTATTACAAGGTGTGTGCAAATAATGACCAATTAAATAACTATGAAAGTATGATGCCAGATGTAAATTAATCAACATGCTTTGAAATGAAAGGTTTGTTTGATCCAAACAGTGTTGTCATTGTTAAACTGGTGCCTGGATTTTAACTAGATCTAAATTTTTGTTGAATAAATAAATACTTTTCTAATACATCTACCTGAAATCTCTGATGGAACACAAGTAAAAAATCTGAAAATATGCAAAACTGAAATTTCCCAAACATAACAATCACTCAATACAAAACATCGGATAAGTTTGAAAAAACAAGAAAATGATGATGATAAAATCAGGTTTGTTACCAAATCATTTTTAGCAAATCAATGTTCAAAGAAAGTAATAAGAGAATACTTCAAGTGTTCTGAAAACCAAATATTCTTTACTATTACTTTTCTGCTACGTGCCTCCCTGGTGCTACACCCATCCCATAACATCACACATCCAAGAACAGATTTTCTTCATCAAATACAAAAGACATTATTATCTCATAAAAATTAATCACTGTTGTAATAAACTATAATCCACAAACAAGAACAAAGTTTTCAAAGTATGTTTCAGGAGAAAATAAACTCCCGTTTAACAAACCAATCATATTTAAGCTGATTAAATTTCATGGATGACCTCAGAAATGTGAACCTTTCCCATCCAGATAGTTCACTTCGGAAATCACCTGAAATTTCCTTAACAAATATTTTTTCCTCCAATAATTCGAGTTGATTCTGAGGTTTTCCATACCACTCATCTGACCCTAATGAAGTTTAAAAGTCATCTAAAGAAGGCTTTTGAAGGTGTTCTTCATTCAAATATTCTGTGTGTCAAATAAGGAAAAGGAGAGAAAACTGGGTAGAATACCAATAACAAAAATAGACAAGCTTTCCTGGTGGCTCAGGGGTAAAGAATCAGCCTGCTAGTGCAGGAGACACAGGTTCAGTCCATGGGTCAGAAGGATTCCACATGCCACGGGAGCAACTACTTATGCACCCCATCTACCTGAGCCTCTGCTCCAGAGGCCAGGAGCAGCAACTACTGAGCCTGCGTGTCACACGACTCAAGTGTAAATGCTCCAGAGCCTTTGCTCTGCAAAAATAGAAGCCTGCGCACTGACACAGCAGAGTAGCCCCCACCTGCCATAACTAGAGAAAACCCATGCATCAACAAAGACACAACACAACCAAAAACTAGTAATTAAAACTATATATTAAAAAAAAAGGCTATCTGTTTCCACATATCCATCTAAATTAAGGCTAGTCAATCACCTTCAAGTTAGGCTTCAGCAGTATGTGAATATAAAGATGTACAAGTTGGATTTAGAAAAGACAGAAGAACCAGAGATCAAATTGCCAACATTCGAAGGATAATGGAGAAAGCATAGGCATTATAGAAAAACGCCTACTTCTGTTTCATTGATTACACTAAACCCTCAGACTGTGTGGATCACAACAAACAGTGGAAAATTCTTAAAAGAGATGGGAGTACCAGACCACCTTAACTGCCTCCTCAGAAACCTGTTTGCAGGTCAAGAAGCAACAGTTAGAACCAGACATGGAACAATGGACTGGTTCAAAATTGGCAAAGGAGTATATCAAGGCTGCACATTGTCACCCTGCTTGCTTAACTTATATGCAGAGTACATCATGTGCAATACTGGGCTGGATGAATCAAACGCTGGAGTCAAGATTGTCAGGAAAAATATCAACAATCACAGATATGCAGATGACATCACCCTAACTGCAGAAAGCAAAAAGGAACTAAAGAGACTCTTGATGAAGGTGAAAGAGGAGAGTGAGAAGCTGACTTAAAATTCAACATTCAAAAAACTAAGATCATGGCATCCAGTTCCATCACTTCATGGCAAACAGAAGGGGAAAAAGTGGAAACAGTGACAGATGTTACTTTCTTGGGCTCCAAAATTACTGGAGATGGCTACTGCAGCCACAAAATTAAAAGATGCTTGCTCACTGGACGAAAAGCTATGACAAACCTAGTCAGCATATCAAAAGCAGAGAAATCACCTTGCCAACCAAGATCCTTCTAGTCAAAACTATGGTTTCTTCCAGTAGTCATGTATGGATGTGAGACTTGGACCATAAAGAAGGCTGAGAGCCAAAGAATTGATGCTTTCAAATTGTGATACTGGAGAAGACTCCAGAGTCCCTTGGAAGGAGATCAACCAGTCAATCCTAAAGAAATCAACCCTGAATACTCATTGGAAGGACTGATATTGAAACTGAATCTCCAATACTTTGGCCACTTGATGCTAAAAGTTAATGCACTGGAAAAGACCCTGATGCTGGGAAAGATCAAGGGCAAGAGAAGGGGGGTAAAGAGGATGAAATGGTTGAATGGTATCACCGACTCGATGGCTATGAAAATGCACAAACTCCGGGAGACAGAGAAGGACAGGGAAGCCTGGCATGCTGCAGTCTATGGGGTCACAAAGAGACGGACACAACCTAGCAACTAAACAATGACAAATCTTCCCAAGTCACTTAATAGGATATCCTTGCTTACCCCAGCACAATAAGTATGTCTACAAATCCAACGAAAACATGATATTTGGAAGAAAAGGTATTACAAAGAAAGTAATTAATGAAAATTACACAAACTTTAGTGACCAAAGTAGTAATAAATTAATCCTAACATTTTATTTTTTATAAACCTCAACACCTAAGTTTCAAAAGATATCACAGCTTTCTTAATCAGAAAGAAAAACTTTCAGCCAAAGACTCTACCACTTAAAAAAATTATACATAATGAAAAGGGAAAAAAAGGCTCTGCAGGTTTTACTCAAACAGTCCTCTACCTTAATGCCAAGTTTGTAACTTAAGAGTATTTGTTTCACAACATGCTGTTTAAATAATATGGCACTGTGGAGTTCCATTACAACATACAATCAGTCAAATCCAAGAAGGTGGAGGAAAAAAGTACAGGTAGGAGGACAGCCAAGGGAGACACAATGAGGAGGCTCCCAGCATCACAAACCTCTGTTTTCTCAGTCAGTTTCACAACCTACATAACCCTTACATATCAGCATCTCACTGCTCCGAGACCCATGATAGTGCTAAAAATACAAATTTTTCAAATAATCGGCCATAAAATACAAATTAACAACTTCAAATGGTACACAACTAAGTAAATGTAGCCTTATTTCATTTCTACTAGAGATAAAATTGGGTATCTGGCTATAGTGACAGTCTTTAGAGAACTGTATAAACATTTTGTGATTTATAGGTAACCTAATGAATCTTTTAGGATAGACAATTAAAATATGTTTGATTTTTGTTTCATTGCTAACTATAATTATTAGTTCTCAGATTAAACCAACATACCTACTAAATAAATAAATGGCATTAATTAGGAACAAAAAATATTTCTAACTTCAAACCGAAATTTTTATATTCATAATTAGTCAAAGACTATCAGAGGTAACCAAAGAAATGGCAGTTACTTTTTAAAGGTATAGTTGTCTTACGTTTTATTCTACAAGGCTCTGTAATCCATGTTTGGGAGAGGAGGCACAGAGGGAATGAAAACGACCATAGCTATGCCTTCCACCAACATGATGAAACAGAATAATGCTGGTTAAAATTTTTTTTTAATTATGTACTATTCAAGCCTCTCATAAAATTCACAAATTTTTCACTAGCCCAATTCTTAAAATACAGCACAGACACTACCAAACATGAAGCACAGAAACTGAACAAAACAAAAAGATCCACAGAATGGGTAAAAATACTTGCAAATGGGGCAACAAAGTATTAATCTCCAAAATATACAAAGAGCTCATGCAGCTCAATATAAACAAAAAAACAATCCAATCAAAACAATGGGCAGATCTAAATAGACATTTTTGTATGTCTTTTAATGAAGACAGATTCCCTGGTAGCTCAGCGGGTAAAGAACACGCCTACAACACAGGAGACCCCGGTTCTATTCCTGGAGAAGATTCCTTGGGAACCCACTCCAGTATTCTTGGGCTTCCCTGGTGGCTCAGTTGGGAAAGAATCTGCCTGCAATGTGGGAGACCTGGATTCAGTCCCTGGATTGGGTAAATCCCC